TTTGGGACCTAGAAATAAGTGTTTTAGCTCTAAAAGTGGAGTTCAGACCCCAAAAATGAGGATGTGGGACCTAAAAATAAGGGGGTTAGCTCTGAAATGGGGTTTAGACCCTAAAAATGAGGGTTTAGACCCTAAAAACAAGGTTTTCAATGAGAGAATCAGGGCTTTGGACTCCAAAAATGAGGATTCGGGATCTAAAAATAAGGTTTTTAGCTCTAAGAGTGGGGTTTAGATTCTAAAAATGATACTTTGGGACCTAAAACGAAGGGGTTTAGATCTAAAAGCAGGATTTAGACCCTAAAAATGAGGGTTTAGACCCTAAAAACAAGGTTTTCAACAAGAGAATCAAAGCTTTTGGCTTAAAAAATGAGGATTTGGGACCTAAAACTGAGGCTTTGGGATCTAAAAAAATGAGGGGTTTAGCTCTAAAAGAGGGATTTAGATCCTAAAAATGAGGGTTTAGACCCTAAAAATGAAGGTTTGGCCCCTCTAAAATACGTCTGAGTTCAGAAATGAGGGGCTGGATGGTAAAAATGGAGCTGTGGAGCTGGAAAACAGGATTGGGATAATTCAAGTGGCCCTGGGGAGGGGCCTCTCACCTGGCAGGCACAGCACGAAGAGCCCCGTCCCTCTCATCCTGCTGGAATGACGGAGGAGCAGCCGGAGGAGTCTGGGGAGAGAGGGAATGCCGAGGGATCGGGGGAGGGGGCCCAGGGACCCCCCCGTTCCCAGCCCCCACACACGGAGATGCCCCCGGGAATGGGCTCCAAAAAAAAACCCCTCCCCAAACCCCCCGAAATTGAGAAACTTTCCCCAAAAAAGGCAGGCGGGGCTTTCCCCCCCTCCCCCCCCCTCAATTCCCGGGGGATTCGCGAGGACCAAGCCCTGGAATACCCGGAGGCAGGACGGGGATGGGAAAGGCCGGGATGGGGGAGGAGAGGGTTGGACCTCCCGGGGACAACAGAGCCCGGAGGGAGCTTTGGGGCTCCTCTCCTGGGATTTCCAACCCAATTCCTTGGGAAAGGGCTCGTTCTGGGGGTTCCCTGCTGGGAAATGCAGCCCCTCGATCCAAAGGGATGCAGAGAATTGAGGGGGAAAATAGGGATTTTAGGGAAAATAGGGATTTGAAGGAAAATCCCGTGCAGGGGCTGGGGTTTGGCAGCCGTGGGCGCTCCTGCTTCCCTGGAGTTTTCCAAGTCTGCTTTTCCTGGCAGGAAGATGGGGCAAGGCT